ATGTTTTAATTCTTTGGACCATGTTTCAATTCTTTGGACCATGTTTCAGTGTTTTAGCCCATGTTTTAATTCTTTGGACCATGTTTCAATTCTTTGGACCATGTTTCAGTGGTTTGGACCATGTTTCAGTGGTTTGGACCATGTTTCAGTGGTTTGGACCATGTTTCAATTCTTTGGACCATGTTTCAGTGGTTTGGACAATGTTTCAATTCTTTGGACCATGTTTCAGTGGTTTGGACCATGTTTCAGTGGTTTGGACAATGTTTCAATTCTTTGGACCATGTTTCAGTGGTTTGGACCATGTTTCAGTGGTTTGGACCATGTTTCAATTCTTTGGACCATGTTTTAATTCTTTGGACCATGTTTCAATTCTTTGGACCATGTTTCAATTCTTTGGACCATGTTTCAATTCTTTGGACCATGTTTCAATTCTTTGGACCATGTTTCAGTGTTTTAGCCCATGTTTTAATTCTTTGGACCATGTTTCAGTGGTTTAGACCATGTTTCAATTCTTTGGACCATGTTTCAATTCTTTGGACCATGTTTCAATTCTTTGGACCATGTTTCAATTCTTTGGACCATGTTTCGGTGTTTTAGCCCATGTTTTAATTCTTTGGACCATGTTTCAATTCTTTGGACCATGTTTCAGTGTTTTAGCCCATGTTTTAATTCTTTGGACCATGTTTCAGTGGTTTGGACCATGTTTCAGTGGTTTGGACCATGTTTCAGTGGTTTGGACCATGTTTCAGTGGTTTGGACCATGTTTCAATTCTTTGGACCATGTTTCAGTGGTTTGGACAATGTTTCAATTCTTTGGACCATGTTTCAGTGGTTTGGACCATGTTTCAGTGGTTTGGACAATGTTTCAATTCTTTGGACCATGTTTCAGTGGTTTGGACCATGTTTCAGTGGTTTGGACAATGTTTTAATTCTTTGGACCATGTTTCAGTGGTTTGGACCATGTTTCAGTGGTTTGGACCATGTTTCAGTGGTTTGGACCATGTTTCAGTGCTTTGGACCATGTTTCAGTGGTTTGGACAATGCTTCAATTCTTTGGACCATGTTTTAGATCACATAACATTCCATGTATTCACCAAGTCAATGAATGTTTTGTCATTTTGATATTATATCTATAGTGAGGTTGAGTCGTGTGATTGGTGGTTGAATATCATGTGACTTGGGTTCATGTTGGTGTATGTACATAATATATTACAATCAAATACAAAATAGAGACAGATTTTGTGCTCTGAAAATAAATTTATCATATCGTCACATTTCCTTATAGATTTATGCGTGGCCGTTGATGGAGACTCTGTTTTCTGAAGTTTTAACAAAAGATGAATGGTTAAAGCTATGGGACAATGTATTTTCAAATCATCCGTCCTTTTTCCTGATTACAATAGTTTCATACTGTATTTGTTCAAGACAACCATTACTCCAGTGTATTGATAAAGAAGACTTTGAGGTAAGTTAATTATACCCTCCCCCCTCTCTCTCAGAATGCCCCTTTGTGTTGTTCATTATATCAGTGTTGGCGGATAAGTACTTGTGCAAACACAACAATGATGTTAGGCTCCACTGGTCACATGGTTTTGAGTGAAGAAGACCATGTTGGCAACTTTCAATGGATTAAATTCACCTGTGAACCAGGGAAGAGCAGTTAAACTGTTACACATAGTGGATATACTTCATAAAAACATTGATTGGCTGGCCATCACTCTTTAGATCTGCTTCATGATTTGTTTTTTTTCAAGCTGACAAGCTGATAATACTTGCATGTACATCATTTAATGTTATGAATTTAACTTGTACTAATATTGGAAGATTGCATGCAGTAATCCTAAACATTGACACAATGTCACATTGTCTTTGCATTCAAAAATATTACATTATAAAATAGACTTGTGCAATGAAAACCATTATACATTGTGATATTATCCAGTGTTTACCCTTTAACCTTTCAAGCATTGTGGCCATGGTACTCGTCTCATAAGTTTGAGGCCAAGTTTTTCAGTGCTAGTTCATACTATAAACTGTGACATTACCCTTCCAGAAAAGTTCCCCAATCTGATCTTTCATGATCAGTGTTCCCCCAGCAAAACTTCAAATTTGCATAACACTAGGATATGTTAATGACAGTTATTGTATTAATTGTTTTGCAAATTTGGTGCAATTGTTCATCAACAATTTTACAGTTAGGAACCCCTACTCTATAATGCCCTGGGGAGAACCCTGTGGATTTATATCTACTGTATATCCAAGTTAAATAAGTTTTATAATTAAAATAGTATTTTCATTAATCTTAGTAGTTGTATGACATTCATTTTTTTTTTCAGTATTTCTTTCACCATCGTAACTCAGTAGATATTGGCGCTGTCATCAAAGAAGCGTATCATCTTCAAGACACTACACCAGACGATGTACACCCAGTGAGGATGTTGGACGATTTCAAACCGCTTACTAAAGGACAATATCCGGTGTTCAATAAATATCCTAAATTTATTGTGGATTACCAGGTAAGAATCAGTCAATGATTTATGATGGTTCAGCATTGTATAAGGGAATAGGGGCATCCTTCGACTTATGTGTGAAACATTTACCAGGAATTCATGGACATTCTTTCATAGGATTGTGGTAGCATTTTTAGTTTATCAAATATTTACTGTCATCACAATGTGTCATGTTGAATGTTGGTTCTGTATGTAAAATACATTGTTTACATGAAATTCGAACACCCACTGCATAACGACTAGGTCATCTTAATATTTAGTCTGCACGAAGACATGGAAAAATGTACCATGTAATCTCATAGGAAAACACCATATCCACTTTGATAGGTTTGATTATGTCATGTTTGTCGATTATTCTTAAAAAATGTGTTAGTATATTGAATGCAAGTTTGATTCAAATATCAATATAAATGGTTAAGAAATAGGGTCTAGGAGATTAGAGGAACATATGTTATTAGAATTTTTATAAAATGGTCTGAATTGTGAGAATAATAATTAGATCTTGTGGATCTTGATTTGTGAAGTGATAGGGGAGTGATCACTCTTCTCAAATGGCATTTCTGAGAAACATGATTCACAATTATCGTATTGTCATATGGAAAGTTGTAAGTAATAGATGTGTTATAACAAAAATGTGTAAATTTAACAGGCACAGGAACGTGAACGGATACGACAAGATGAAATGGAGTACTTGAGACAGCGACAGGCAGCGATGGAATTGAAGAAAGAGACAGAGAAGAGACAACAAGAGGAGACAGCGTGGTATCGTCAACAAGAACTGATCAAGGATGCAGAGGAAGAAAGGAGGAAGTTGCTGATGGAAGAGGAACAGAAGCTTGTGGATCAAAGAGTCAGGTCAGTTTTGCATGATGGGAAAGATTCATCTGTCCATTCATTTGTTGTGATTCTACCAAGAGGCTGTAAATTTGAGCTTGATGAAATGCATAATTTTTTTTTTTTTTATGAAATGCATAATTTGAATTGGAAGCATCTGTGTAACAAGCTCTCAATCTGAGTTTTATGTCAATGAATGTAAAACAAAATGGTGGCGCCCCACTGCGCCATTTTGAAACACCAGTACACTTTTGTTTTGCATGGCCTAATAGTAGTGAGGCGATGCACAATTATAAGAGTTTCAGCTGGTGGGGATGAAATTATATTAGTTTTGATGCTATCCTAGTTTTTATACAAATTACAAAGTTTTGGATGATTTGAGGTCAAAGCTGTAGGATGAATTGCCAGCACATTCCTTACAAATTATAGCTACCGGGTATGAAGCATTTATGGTCGTTTCCATGGTTACTCATTAAATATTTATCTTCAGATTAAATGCAATGAAAAGAGAACTACGTATCAAAGAAATGCAACTGATAGACGCCGCTAGAAGGAAGTTCGTACATCACGAAAAACAACAGAGAGAGACAGAATTAAAAAGGCTTGATGAAGAGTTGGCTAGGAAGGTTATGCTTAGAGAACAAGAGACAAAGTCAGCAATGGAAGACGTGGATATTAAAAACATGGAATTGTATGCACAGAAGAAAATGTTAGAACAGGTAACATCTTTTTTTTTATAACACTACAACCATCACTGAATACTGTTAGTTTTCTTATTAAGCTGGGCTTGAACATCAAAATCGACTTCTACCTCAAATGTGTGCCACCGACTGGATGGAGAGGCCAAATCAACTAACATTCACAAACATATATGTATTTTTGAAACAATTTTGATCAAATTTGAAGCCATTGGGCACTATCTGGTTCAAAACTTATTCAAATTAATTATTCAAAATCTTGGTATTCAAAGGTTTATGTCCACTTGTGACTGACATTGTGTTTGATATTGCCTAGTTATCTTTTCTTTATAATGCTATTATGATAGGATGATGGTCACATAGTCCAGATTTGAATCAAAATAAGTTTTCTCCCCTCCTTGTCTATTCAGGAGCTGGCTAGAATCCAGTCTGAAGCAGATTATCATAGAAGAGTTGACTATGATGCCAAAAGGAAACAGCATGAACTTGAAGAGAGAGCACAACAGAGAGTAATGGATCAGGAAAGAGAAACAGAACATGATCTCAGAAAGGTAAGATTCTACTTATGTAAAAGTAGCAAACCTGGATATTTGGTGCTAAACCCATGTCTACTTGTATGTCAGCCGGGGAATTGAGAAAGTTTGACTTGGCCAATTAATCAGGATAATAATATGCAGTTTTTTTGAACTTGGCTTATCAAGAATTTGGATGGTACATGTACCAGTGGTATATTAAAATGTTTATTATTTCATGAGAAACACTGGCAAGGAGTAAGACCTTAGTTCTAACATCTTTCCCAGACATTTTCCTGTACTGAAAATTGTGTTTAATGCTGACTCCCTACAGGGCGTCCAGAGAACCGTAGCTCAAGCTGAACAATTACACAGCGATGCACAAATGCGAAAGGAAACTGAAGTCAGAGGTCGACTGGATGATATTGAGAGAGAACTTAAATCAGTTGAGGTGAGCGGCCAGCCAATGCATGTTTATAATGATTGAGATTTATTTTCAAAACTCAACTCCATACGAGTATGGATATGAAGAGGTTGTGTTTAAACTCAGGTTCAAATCAAATTGAAGATACATTATGTTTGTCATACTTTTATTATTATGAGTTAATAACATCAAAATACTGAAAATAAAAAAATTAAAAATTGGGGACACCCGAGGATTCTTTAAGGTATGAAATATCATAGATAATGGTCAAAATTGTCATTTTTACACTTGTTTCTATAATATTAAATTTATTCATTCAAGTCTCAGAATTATGCTCAGTGACATAAGATGATAAAGTTGAATATTATTATTAATATGTAATCTAACATTGTGAAATCATTTCAAAAAATTAATTTAGTGAGTTTCCAGGGTGCTAGTTTTCCGTTATATACATCATCTCCCCATAACGCATTGCACATTTGTGCAAAATTGGCTCAAACTGCTAGAAAATAGAGTTCAGTTATAGAGAATTCAGGCAATATATTAATGTCACTTTCATTGAAATTTCCACTGTGTCCAAACTTTTCTACACAATGTAAATCTATTATTATTTTTAAACTTCTGGTGTGTCTAATTATGTGGTGAAACCGTGTGACAAAACACACTTTCTGAAATCAAAATTAACCTGTGGAGAAGCACTATCGAAAAGTGTCATCCATCTTGCTATTGTATACAACAATCTTAACGTCCTAGATATTATGACATCAAAGGTTAGTAAGACACGAAATGATGAGAAATATGCTGAGAAAATTCAAATAATATTTATCAGAACAATCATGCGACTTTTGATCAATGATAATGACCGTCTCATACTTGAGAAATATTAATATTGAATATCATGTACATGTTTCAGTTGGCGCGTCACAATGATCAAAACAGACAAATGGAAGAAGAAATTCAGGATTTAATGCGAAGACTTGAAGAGGGGAAGGTGAGTGCTAACTATTTAGGATATATCAACTACCGGTGTACAATTATATCGTTATTGTTGAAGTGATTTACTGTAGTATTCAAAACCGTGTTTAGCATTAATAACCAAGTCAACGTAGAAATTGGATGTGAAGGGAAAATTCAGTGGGAAACACAATATCAGTATTTCACCGTACGACTTTCTTACGATTGACACAAGGGAGGATCATGAAATAAATTAGACAATGCTCCATGGCAGTTTATGGTATTTCACTGCTTTGTATATTATTAGTTGGAAACAGCAATGGATGAGCAAGAACAATACAACAAATTTAAAGCGCTGTCTGAAGTGGCGGAGAGAAGACGATTACAGTTGTTACAAGAAGAAGCCACACTTGCTAGAGAACATGCCGAAGAACTGAGGAATTCAATGGATGCATCTTTTGGTGAGTCTTGCATTTCTCATAGACACCATCTTGTATGCAAGACACCATCTTTTAATGAAAGACACAAACAATGAATGTATGACAGGGGGACTAAAATGGGCTTTCAAAAAGAGACAATTTTGATACATGTACGACTTTTTGATATGGGTCTTATAGAACATATACTGATTCAGCACATGTTACATTGTTACAAACAAAAATTTTAGTATATGCCACGCGATGATTATGACACAGGGATCACCACCCTTTAATAGATAAAATCATCATGAATCAACCAGCATAAAGAAATTCAGGCAAATTTTGTTTTGTTTTTTGAGATTGTATATTATGTGCATCTGAGCTTCATTCCATTATGGTTGATACTACCGTTACATCTTGACATTAAAACCCATCCTGATTTCATGTCGTTATTTCATTACAGAGCGTCTAAGAGATATCAGAACACAACACGTGGAGAACAGTGTGACAAGTCCGTTACTACCAGAAAATGTCAGAACAAACGGCATCACATCAACTGACAATACATGTTTGAATAATTTGAGTTCTTCACCGGATAGCGATGTTCCATGTGAGTTGTACAGCTGATTACTTTAAGGTCTTGCATTTTTCAAACACATTGTTTGCCCAGTCAAACCTGTGTAATTTGACAACAGATACTTTAAGATGGACTATAAATAAATATATGCTCATTTGTCTTGATTTACACAGGTTTATTTGACCAAACTTGAATTAAAATGTGATCTTTATATAAAGATAGTCACTAACAGATGACGATGGTGATGTTTTATTTCAGAACTACGTTTAATATCAATTTCTTTTTTTGCCAGATTGCAACCTGAAAACTTTCCCAATTTTATTAATTCTATTTCTTGTTTACAAAATCAAAAGGTGCATGTATTTTTTGTTATTTTCCCAAAAGTAATGTTTTTCTCTGATCTATGTACTTTCAGTTACATTGGATCGTGGACGAAAGACTTTTGAAAGACGAGAACAGGAACTGCTGAGAGAGGTTAGAGACATGCGAAGAAAACTTGCTTCAGAGAGCAGAAGAGCTAAACCGCCACCTGATTATATTTCTGATGATGATGAAGAATAAATAACATTACATAGCCTTGGATTGCAGTGATGTGAGAATAGTCAAATCCTTCAATCAGTGAAAATAAGGACTTATCATGTTTACTTTGTTGAAGTGCATATCAACAAGAAATTGACAATACAAATAAGTCAAAAATGTTTGTTTTGGTGTGATTTAATAAAAGTACATGAATATTTTAAATTGTGATTTGGTAAAGCTCATTTTTAACAGAGCAAGTTCATATGCTTCTTATTGAGCAAATACAGTATTTTTCTTTTTTCATTTGCACTGCCAGTTAACTGATACAACTACGCAACTCTTTCCAGTTAAGGTTTTCCAGTGTATAAAAACATCTATATAATTGTGTTATGATTCCATCCTGTCATCTTTTCTTCAAGCTCTTTTTAATGACCTGTGTCTAAACATTTTCATTGCCATTTCTTTTGAATAAACTTGTATTTTAAAAGTTGATAAAAAAGAAATCAAAAAATTATGTATAGCTGTATTTTATGACTAAAAGTCAACATTTGTTCTTCCACTTTTATACAGTAATCTTAATATTTGATAATTATACTTATTCAAATTTGTAAATTGATCATTCAATAATCAAAAATAATATTTTTTATAGAAATTGTTCTTTATTATGGAACTATAACTCTACAAAAGAATAAAATATCAATATCTTTTCAAATCAGTTGTTGAGTGTAACTTGTGTACAGGACATAGATGTGTTGTAACATCATTTCAGTTTTCCTCTATGCTCTATGTGGATCTGATAAAGATGCGGATCTGTAATGGTAAAGGAATTAACACAATGAGAATGTACAGATATGAAATTCTTAAGCTCTTTTGTCATGCACTGTAAAATAATATGAGGTTGTTACAAGAATACCTTACAGTATGCATGAAGACAGTACGGCTGGAGTATTGACCTGTCTGAGTGCATACTTTGAGGTATTCTCGTAATAACCTTATTATTATACATCTTTTCCTTCCAAGGATACATTATGGAAATGCCGAAATTCAAAAAGTTTAGAACAGAATCAGCGAACTTCTTTGTGTCGAGTCTGGTCAAACCCTGATGGCAGCCATATTTGTTTTTATTATTAGAGGAAGCTTATGCGCGTAATCATTCCATATTTGGAATTCGCATTTCCTAATGTGGTAGGATGAAAATACTGCAAAATTATGGCACGCTGTAACTTATGGCGTTACGGTGACGGATGTATAATAATTATTATTACAACTACGAACAAAATACATGTATCAAGACTGTTGTACATGCTGACTGGGAACGTTTATGTACACACTCCAAGGATTCTGCATTGTTTGTTGTGTTGGCATCAACAACAGTAGACACTGCACAATATATTGGTTTTAAAGTGTGTGAAGTTGGAAAGTGTGATGCCAGCAAAATCAGACCGGTAAATAGATTGCAAAGACAGTATTGATAACTTGTGTATAGTACATGTCTCTAGACTCTACTGTACATGCAATTGACATGTTTTTCTGTTAGATATTACCACTTTTACAACATTTAAAGGGTGGTGGGGGTGGTGGTGGTGGTCGCGCAGCTTTTATTCAAATTTGTGAACAAACAATGTATTTTACCAGCATTGTGTATGTCATAATGAGTCCCATACAACGACCACAGACACCACCCTTCAATGGATACTATGATTGTAGAGGTTTTGAACATCAACAGTGTTCTAAATACTTACAATACAGGTCTTCTTGGCTGATAACTTAACTGAAATAGATATTAAATAAAGTATTTATTATTCTCCACTAGAAATGTAAAGCATATGTACTACCGGGGGTACTAATACTATACATGCTCTATTAAAAGCGCATCACCAATTGAAGATCACCAACTAAAAATCAGATTTGTTGTCTATTAATTCATCAAAATAATACTTATTTTGACCATAGAACACTTGTGCCTATTCAAATGTGGTACATCTATAATGATGGATCATTCCATTATCTGTTCTGCTCAAGTCTAATGACCGATTTGTTTTTGATGTGACATTGTGATTGCTCACAGGTAATTTTATGTATGCTGATGGTTACTCACATGTATTTGCCTTCTAGAAGGATCCCAATGTCCACTTTGAGATAATGGTGTGCTAAAACCTGCAAGTATTAATCAAATCAAATAACATCAATAAAATTCTACAAATTTCGTCTGATTTTGGACCTGTGCGAACAATAATACATGTTTTAATGATCTGTAAAAGTTCCGCTGCTGCTGTATTGAGGAACTTACCCTGTTGTGTTGGTGTGACATTTTGAGAATTTGTGGGAGTCCTGAATCCACTACTCTGGTTAGTCCCTCTAACAGAATAAAGATTATAGAGATAAGTTTTCACATTTTTCCAAATGTTATTGTAATTTTGTAACATTTTTGGCTTGCCTGCAATGAAGTGAAGGTAAAATAGTGGCGAAATATCTGTTGTGCATGTTTGTCGTTTTTTGTCGTAAATTATTCTTGTGGGCGTGATAACGGCAACATTATTCAGATGATTGCTATTAAACTTGCTTATATATATTCATTTGAATATTACGTATGACCTAAGGTTAGTAATTTTGACACAAGTTTACACACAGTATGAAATGTTTTTTTGCGGAAAAAATTAAAAAAAATTAATTCCCATAGGAATCCATGTTCAAACATTACTCCACTAAGATCCCCAAATAATTCATAATAACCCTAAGCATCCATCGTATCATTACATTTGATTTTTTAACCATATGTACGGTAACTAATTGAAATTTTGAAAGAATTTGTGTTTATCACACTTACTGGCTTGCAGGACTGACTGACATAGGTGAAGTTTTATAGCTTAATCTGTTTGGAGTATACATTTCATGTCTTCCTGGAGTCACATTACTTTGCCTGTAAGGAAGTCATGTATACTAATATTCTTAAGTGTTCAAATATTGATTTTCAAATGAGTAAAATACCATCAATTGCAATGCACAGTCCCTGTTTGGTATTGGCAGTAGTCTCCTTCAATGTTCCCTACAAGTCACATGTAGATACACATGTATACCAAAGGGCTGCATGCATCAACTGTTGGCCAACACTGAACAGAATCAGTCATTATATTCCAGAGAAACTAGTGCGGATACTACAACAAAAACAAAGTGGTCGCTAGTCAGCCATTTTTGTTCAAATTACCCTGTTTGCAAATTTGATTACCAATATTGCTGCTAGTCAGCCATATTTGAATCTAGAGAAAATCAATGTGGATATGTAAGTCGTATCATACATATTTTTTTGTGTGAAAGTTTGAAATAGATCGTCAAAGCCTGAGAAATTGCTCTGGACTACAGACAGACTGAACTCAAATGAGAGTTAAACTTGTACACTAAAAATACACTATATAAAGAGTATAGTGATGCTGGATGGGCGAAGATAATATTCCATGTAAACGCTAAGGTATATATACCACTCACCTTACAGCATGACCAGTTGGAGTTTTTTGTAATGACGTACCCCCCATGAGAGGAGTAGGTGGTGTACCTGTGAACAAATTTAGGTTTAGTAAATATACTATGTATATATATATATAGTTATCTCGATAAGTTTGACATGAATGGTTAAACTATGAACTTTCGCTTAGAACAAAAAGTTTTGATCAGTTTTAAAGGCCATGCTCAGAATTTTTATTTTTGATTTGTAAGAAAATAAGGGGGCACGTGCCTTCTGTTGGCAGTGCAATATCTTGTTCACACATGCACAAATTGACTTTCTTAATGTTTCTCTGAGTGACATAAAAAATAAATTGCACCATTACAAAAAATAAGCTATGAGTAAAAGAGCTGCGTTATGAAAGTAATACAAGTCAAAATGGTAATTAGTAATTTGCAAATCTTTTTTCTAATGAAATTGTGACCTGGTGGTGGTTTGTAAATTTTAAATAACGTTAGACTGTAAATCAATAGAAAAACTAAAATGATGTTATTGTGAGGATCAACTGCTACTAAACTAGATACCCAATTAATGATTTTATGAGTCCTGGGAAAATATATAAGATGAAATGATATGCACCCCTCATCCTATGAATTAATAGGACTGAGTAAAATTTTGTTAAGATAATTGATAGATTAGGTAATCAATTAAAAAATACAGGGCTTGAAATTCACATCGATATTTACAGTAACGAATAAACTTACCCATTTTACCATCAACAGGTGGTGTTCTCATTGTAATTCTACCTGGACCTTTGGGAGTGCAAGTTTGCTGAAAATATATCAATAATTGTAATTTATTAAGGGTAAGATAGTTATACTATGACCATTAAGGATTTCATATTACAGAAAAGTAGCAATGGTCTGATTGTTAATTATTATATTACTCACATCATACTGTGATGCTCCAGCATCTCCACTTCCATTTTGTGGTCTTCAGAAGGAAGAAAACGGAAGAATAATGAAATTGAGGGTAATACTTTCTGTCAAAATACCTAGGTTCTGAGAAATCTACATCGTAATTATGTATAGTTTTGTCAATTAACAAGCACTTTTCGAATCTCAATCAGGAAAGTGTTGCATGACCATATTGGGAAGTTACTATGTAGACGAAACCTATTGCTATGTAATGTTTAGCAAAACTACCCGTACCAGTCTGTAAATTCTGTTTTTCGAGACTGAACTCAAATCACTGCAGGTCAATCATGAAATTAATGAAGTGTTACCTCTAAGAATGTTCTCAATTTAAAGATGTTTAATTTCATAGCAAAGTGATTCAAACTTTGGATGAGCAGGAAATAAGTGTATACTTACGTATTTGGATGACTTCCTCTGGATAGGTTATATGGAGAAGAATGTCCATGTTTAAGTGGAGGTGTCTTTGCTGCATTGGGAATTACAAAAATTAATGTAAAAAAAAAAGGTACAAAAAGGAAATGTGACCAAAATGCTGAAATGTAAATTAAAAGAACATCAGAATACACTTACCAGGATGATTCTGGTGAGCAGGACTGTGTATTCTGCCTGGTGGAGCTCTTTGAAAAAATTTTAACAAAATAAAATGTCATTAAAGTAAGAATATTCGCCTGACACCAACATTGTAGATCATTCCATTATTGCGCTAGACAAATATGACATGCAGTTTTTCAAAACAATTAATATACATTCGTTAATGAATACATAAACACATTTCTTAGACATATTCAAGGCAAGCATAGTAATATACATATTTCTTTGAACCTATAGCATGTATTGCATATTAGGCAACATTGAAACTTACTTTCACACTAACACTTCAGTATGTATCATAATTTACTGAAAATGAACGTTCAGATCAAGCCACATTTTGTACCAAATATTGCTGAAATAAAGATTTTTCTGGAACTCTCATTTGCATCACCCACATTAATTAACTAGTGAAGAATAATATTACTTCAAA